CCTCTGGGGGCCCAGTCCTTGCGCACTCTTCCACGGTTCTACCGTGTCCTGCGGCCCCGTCGGGCTTGCTGTTGGGACTCCACCTCCCCTCGTTCTCTACGAACCTGGTGAGTGGAGCTGACCTCCAGGACGCGTGGGTTGACCAGTTCGCCCCTGGAGGTCAGCGTGTGACCCACTGCACTTGCTCTCGGACGGGCCACCACCTGGCCACGTTCACCCGTCGTCCAGGGTCTGTCAGAATCAACAGAAGGAATGAATGAACTAGGCAGCAGATGGGTACAAGTATGAAAACCTATAAGTGTTGTATCCTGTATTGACTACCCCACTATAGCCTAGACAGACAATAGCTGATATGTTTTGACACACCCCCATAGGCAAAGTGGGGGAGAACAAGGGTCACAAGACCAGTCAAGAAAGGCAAAGCAAGCTCAGGGTGGATCACAAAGTCACCACGCAGTGTGAGCACAAGCAAATGGCCACAAGGCCAGTTGACATGCAGAGTTATATAAAGGAGGATAAACAATACAGTGAACACAACCTAGCAAGTGTAAGCATGCAGGTATAAGTATATAGAGTACAGTACAAGCAGAGTCAAGACGTAAGCAAGTGAGGCACAGTAGGTACAAGGCCAAGAACAGTACAGAAACGCTGATGATCACAAGGCTGAAGTGCCTTGGTGAAAACATCAGCAGTGTTGGCCGGCCACGTAAGCAAGACGAAGCTGGCCACGCTGCTGCAACTTTCGAGCAAGGAAGTAGCGCAGAGCAATGTGCTTCGTTCTGTGCTCCAGTTTGTGCTCCTGACACAATGCCAGCATGGCCTTGCTGTCAACGTACAGAACTGGAGGAGAACGAGGCGCCTCTCCCAAGTCGGTCAGCAGGTAGGTGAGCCAGCGTAGCTCCTGTGCAGCCATGGCCCCAGCGTAGATCTCAGCCTCACAACTGGAGCTGAGAACAGAAGAAGAGCGGGTAGACCGCCAAGAGACAGAAGCGGAGCCAAGACTGAAGGTGTAACCCTGTGACGACCGCTGCGTAGCCAAGTCGTCAACCCAGGAGACGTCAGCGTGACCAGTGAGGACAACTCGAGCCCGTCCTCCAAGCACGAGCCCCATGCCCGATGTACTGCACAAGTATCGCAACACCCTCTTCGCAGCATCCCAGTGCACCTTTCGGTGCCTGCCGGGAGCCACGTAGCGAGCCAGAAGGCTGAGAGGGTATGCGAGGTCAGGTCGTGTGCAAGTCATCAGGTACATGAGGCATCCCACAAGCTCTGGATACGGGCCACTCGGCTCTACGGACTCGTCCGAAGGTGGAGCTGAGAGCGAGTGACCAGTAGGCAGAGGAGTGGACTGTGGCGAGGAGTACGTGAAGCCGAAGCGCTGAAGGACCTTGTGCACCATGTATGACTGAGTCAAGGTAATGGTGCGCTGTGCTCTGTCCCGGGTGATCCGCAAACCAAGATAGCTTGTCAGTTCACCCAGGTCAGTGCACGTGTGTCTCTTCTGCAGCTCGGACTTCACGTGGGCGAGTGCCTCAGTGTCACCATTAGCAAAGACGAGGTCGTCTACGTACATGAGAACGTAGAACGGCGGCAGAGTGGTGTCAGTGCGTAAAAACAGAGAAGGGTCAGCAGTGGAAGGAGCAAAACCAAGAGCAGCAAGAGTCGTCCTCAGTGTGTCGTGCCACTCACGGGGTTCCTGGCGGAGACCGTAGACTGGCCGACGGATGCTCCACTGGGTACCAGCAGGAAACGACCCAGTGAAGCCTGGTGGGCGGCGCAGCCATATCTCCTCGTGCAGGCAGCCCTGTAGGAAGGCTGTACTGAAGTCAAGCGAGTGGAGCTCGTAGTCACGCTGGGCGGCAATGTGCAGCAGTACCCGAAGAGTGGTCATCTTCGGGGTAGGGGAGAAGGTCTGGAAGAAGTCCACCCCCTGTCGCTGACTGAAGCCACGTGCAACGTAACGCGCCTTGAAGGCAGGTGGAGAACCCGGCGGCCGCTTCACGCTGAAGATCCACATGCCACTGACGATGTTCGCCCCAGGCGGGGGAACCTCGTCGACGTTGGTGCCTGTGGACTTCCAGGAAGCCATCTCGGCGTCCATGGTTGCCTGCCACTGAGAGGAGTAGGGACCCTCTATCGCCTCTACGTAAGAGCGCGGGGTCGAGATGTCTGGTGCATCCGGGTCTCCCTCAGGGGCAAGCAGCATGGACACGAGATGAGGTACAGCAGTGGCAAAGCACTCAAACTCCTCCTGTCTGTCCTCAAGGACGTCCGTGCCAAGAGCACACTCACCCCCGACGGACGGAGGACAGACAGACGCAGACGCAGACTCAGCAACAAGACTAGTGGCGTAGTCTAGGCTACAGGCTGCAGCAAAGTCAACAAGCTCAGCAACGAGAGCAGACCCAGCAGTGGACTCAAACAAAGGGTCAGTGACAGCAGTGGCCAGAAAGCGCGTGACAGTAGGACTAGCAGCACGAAGGGAGTCAGACTCCAGGTCCGGACCGTCAAGAAGAGAGGACGCAGGAGGAGAGGGCAGAGGGACATGCTGTGGAGCAGTGGAAGGACGCAGTGTCATAGAGTGAGTGCCAGGGACAGGAGGAGGACGCGGAGTATGACGAACAGTGCGAGCAGTGCGGACAGGCGACGCAGAACGAGAAACAGGCGACACAGGACGCGACTCAGGCTCACGACCCTCCGTAAGACCTCTAGTCGGTCCAGAGTAAGGAGAAGGACGAGGCAGTGGAGAGGACAGCTGTAACGGCGACTGTGACTGGACAGGCGGTGGACTCAGTAAAGGAGGAGTAGGACCAGGAGAAGGCGGTAGACCAAGAACCTGCTGAAGGAGCGGAACGTAGTACGGCCTCGGCCGCGCAGCGCCTCCAGAAACAGCAGAGACAGCACCAGTACCCTCAGCTCCAGGGTCTCCAGTTACAACTCCCGCAGCACCACCAGCGCCAGTACCTGCAGCTCCAACGCCTGCAGCACCACCAGCCCCAGCAGCTCCAGTACCTCCAGTACGAGCACCTCCAGGACCAGCGGCTCCAGCAGCTCCAGCACCAGCAGCACCTCCAGTAGCTCCAGCACCAGCAGCACCTCCAGCAGCTCCAGCACCAGCAGCACCTCCAGCAGCTCCAGCACCAGCAGCACCTCCAGCAGCTCCAGCACTAGCAGCACCTCCAGTAGCACCTCCAGCAGCTCCAGTAGCACGGCGACAGCGCCGAGCGTACCACTCACGAAGCCGCGGCGGAGAGAGGGGCTCCCGCCGCAACGGGACACCCGGAGAACCTCCAGACTCAGCACGCGTAGGCTCAGCACCCTTAGACGCAGTACCCCCAGGCTCAGCACCCCCAGGCTCCACACGCTCAGGCACAGCACCCCCAGACTCCACACGCTCAGGCTCAGCACCCCCAGGCTCCACACGCTCAGGCTCAGCACCCCCAGACTCCACACGCTCAGGCTCAGCACCCCCAGGCTCCGCACCCCCAGTCCCCGCACCCGCAGGCTCAGCACCCCTAGCAGCACCTGAGGCAGCGCGGCAGGGAAAGAGACGGTAGTAAGACACCGACTCGTCAAACGTGACGTCCTGAGAGGACAGAACACGATGCGAGGTGGGGTGGTAGAACTGCCACCCAGGTGCGTCAGGGGGGAAGCCAAGGAAGACACAGGGAACGGCACGGGAGGACAGCTTGTCCACTGAAGTATCGCGGACAAAAGCTCGAGATCCCCAGACACGGAACGCAGACGCATCGCCAACCTTTCCCATCCACCTCAGAGTAGGTGTGGTCTTCGGTAAGGAGACACGAGGCTGAAGGTTGAGCTGATGCGCAGCGTACTGAACCGCGAACGGCCACATAAAATGGGGAGCAGCCGCATGGATCATGGACGTACGAGCGACGTCCATGACCATGCCAATGTGGCGCTCAGCAATCCCATTTTTCTGTGGGGAGGCCGGAAGCGTGAACGTCTGGCGGATGCCCTCCGCATGACAGAAGGCCCTCAGGAGGTCGGAGGAAAACTCACCACCTCTAACTGAGTGCAGACGCAGAACAGGAAGGTCCGAGCCGAAACTCTCGCTGAGTTGGCGACGGGCACTGCGGATCCAGTCGATCAACACCTCAGTGACGTCACCCTTGCTGCGCAAGGGGAAGACTGAGGTGTAACTCGAGTAGTCGTCAACGACCAGCAGGAAGTAACGCTCGTGACCCTGTCCACGGACGCGGGCTGGGCCCCACACGTACATGTGAAGAGTCTGCAGGGGAGCCTCGGTCGGAGGGAACGAGGAGGAGTGAGGAGCGGCGCGCTGCCGGCCCTCGACACAGGGAACACAGGTGGGGGCAGGCCCCGGAGGAAGGGGAGGAAGGCAAGGGTTTAGTCAGGTGTTTGCTGCCGCGTCCAGGTCTGGTCCTGCGTCTGCCCCCTGCTCATGTCGTCCTCTGTCCCATGAGACTCTCCTTTGGCGCCACCGCCTTGGTCACCCCTCCCTGCCTCGTCTTCGAGGTATGGCCTCCCGTACCCTTGTCTCGGGTCTACCCCGGTCCCTCCCTCCCCTTCCTCCGGGGCCTGCCCCTACCTGTGTTCCTTGTGTCGAGGGCCGGCAGCGCGCCGCTCCTCACTCCTCCACGTTCCCTCCGACTGAGGCTCCTCTGCAGACTCTTCACATGGGCGTGTGGGGCCCAGCCCGCGTCCGTGGACAGGGTCATGAGCGTTACTTCCTGCTGGTCGTTGACGACTACTCGCGTTACACCACAGTCTTCCCCTTGCGCAGCAAGGGTGAGGTCCCTGAGGTGTTGATCGACTGGATCCGCGGTGCTCGTCGCCAGCTCAGCGAGAGTTTCGGCTCGGACCTTCCTGTTCTGCGTCTGCACTCCGACAGAGGTGGTGAGTTTTCCTCAGACCTCCTGAGGGCCTTCTGTCGTGCGGAGGGCATCCGCCAGACGTTCAAGCTTCCGGCCTCTCCACAGCAAAATGGGATTGCTGAGCGCCGCATTGGCATGGTCATGGACGTCGCTCGTACGTCCATGATCCATGCGGCTGCTCCCCATTTTCTGTGGCCGTTCGCGGTTCAGTACGCTGCGCATCAGCTCAACCTTCAGCCTCGTGTCTCCTTGCCGGAGACCACACCTACTCTGCGGTGGACGGGGAAGGTTGGCGATGCGTCCGCGTTCCGTGTCTGGGGATCTCGAGCTTTTGTCCGCGATACTTCAGCGGACAAGCTGTCCTCCCGTGCCTTTCCCTGTGTCTTCCTTGGCTTCCCTCCTGACGCACCCGGGTGGCAGTTCTACCACCCCACCTCGCGTCGTGTTCTGTCATCTCAGGACGTCACGTTTGACGAGTCGGTGTCTTACTACTGTCTCTTTCCCTACCGCACTGCCTCTCTCCCCCCCCCCCGTTGCTCTTCCTAGCACCAGGTACTCCCCCGGTAGATCCCCTCCCCCCCCAGGGTCCTGCCCCTTAGGTGTTTCCCAGGTAGACCCTGCCGAGCCGGTCGAGGTAGCTGTCGACTTAGGTGCTGCTCGGGGTGCTGAGCGGGTGCGGGGATTGGGGGTGCGGGGACAAGGGGTGCTGAGCCTGAGCGTGTGGAGCCTGGGGGTGCTGAGTCTGGGCGTGCTAAGCCTGGGGGTGCTGAGCCTGGGCGTGTGGAGCTTGAGGGTACTGCGTCTGGATGTGCTGAGCCTGCGCGTGCTGAGTCTGGAGGTGCTCTAGGTGTCCCGTTGCGGCGGGAGCCCCTCTCTCCACAGCAGCTTCGTGAGTGGTAATCTCGGCGCTGTCGAGGTGCTGCTGGAGCTGCTGGAGGTGCTGCTGGTGCTGTTGGAGGTGCTGCTGGAGCTGCTAGAGGTGCTGCTGGTGCTGGAGGTGCTGCTGGTGCTGGAGCTGCTGGAGCTGCTGGCGGTGCTGCTGGTGCTGGAGGTGCTGCTGGTGCTGGAGCTGCTGGAGCTGCTGGAGGTGCTGCTGGAGCTGCTGGAGGTGCTGCTGGTGCTGGAGGTGCTGCTGGTGCTGGAGCTGCTAGAGCTGCTGGAGGTGCTGCTGGAGCTGCTGGAGCTGCTGGAGGTGCTGCTGGAGGTGCTGGCGGTGCTGCTGGTGCTGGAGGTGCTGCTCGTGCTGGAGCTGCTGGAGCTGCTGGAGGTGCTGCTGGTGCTGGAGCTGCTGGAGCTGCTGGAGGTGCTGCTGGGACTGGAGGTGCTGCTGGGACTGGAGACCCTGGGGCTGAGGGCACCGGTTCTGTGTCTGCTGTTTCTGGAGGCGCTGCGCGGCCGCGGCCGTACTACGTTCCACTCCTTCAGCAGGTTCTTGGTTCCCCGCCTTCTCCTGGTCCTCCTCCTCCTTTCCTGAGTCCACCGCCTGTCCAGTCCCAGTCGCAGTTACAGCTGTCCTCTCCACTGCCTGGTCCTTCTCCTTACTCTGGACCGACTAGAGGTCTTACGGAGAAACGTGAGCCTGAGCCGCGTCCTGTATCACCTGAGTCTCGTTCTGCATCGCCTGTCCGTACTGTTCGCGCTGGTCGTGTTTCGCGTCCGCGTCCTCCTCCTGTCCCTGGCACTCACTCTTTGACTCTGCGTCCTTCCACTGCTCCCCAGCGTGTCCGTCTGCCGTCTCCTCCTGCGTCCTCTCTTCCTGCCGGTCCGGACCCTGCGTCTGACTCCCTACGTGCTGCTAGTCCAGCTGTCACGCGCTTTCTGGCCACTGCTGTCACTGACCCTTTGTTTGAGTCCTCTGCTGCGTCTGCTCTTGTTACTGAGCTTGTTGACTTTGCTGCAGCCTGTCGCCTAGACTACGCCACTAGTCTTGTTGCTGAGTCTGCGTCTGCGTCTGACAGTCCTCCTTCCGTCGGGGGTGAGTGTGCTCTTGGCACGGACGTTCTTGAGGATAGACAGGAGGAGTTTGAGTGCTTTGCCGCTACTGTACCTCATCTCGTGTCCATGCTGCTTGCCACTGAGGGAGACCCGTATGCACCAGACATCCCGACCAGGGTCCCTACTCCTCTCAGTGGCAGGCAGCCATGGACGCCGAGATGGCTTCCTGGAAGTCCACAGGCACCTACGTAGACGAGGTTCCCCCACCTGGGGCGAACATCGTCAGTGGCATGTGGATCTTCAGGGTGAAGCGGCCGCCGGGTTCTCCGCCTGCCTTCAAGGCGCGTTACGTTGCACGTGGCTTCAGTCAACGACAGGGAGTTGACTTCTTTCAGACCTTCTCCCCTACCCTGAAGATGACCACTCTTCGGGTACTGCTGCACGTTGCTGCTCAACGTGACTACGAGCTCCACTCACTTGACTTCAGCACAGCCTTCCTACAGGGCAGCCTGCACGAGGAGATTTGGCTGCGCCGCCCACCTGGCTTCACTGGGTCGTTTCCTCCGGCGGCCAGTCTACGGTCTCCACCAGGCACCCCGTGAGTGGCACGACACACAGAGGACGACTCTTGCTGCTCTTGGTTTTGCTCCTTCCACTTCTTACCCTTCTCTGTTTTTACGCACTGACACTACTCTGCCGCCGTTCTACGTTCTCGTGTACATAGACGACCTCGTCTTTGCTACTGCTGACAGTGAGGCACTCGCCCACGTGAAGTCCGAGCTGCAGAAGAGACACACGTGCACAGACCTGGGTGAGCTGACAAGCTATCTTGGCTTGCGGATCACCCGGGACAGAGCACAGCGCACCATTACCTTGACTCAGTCACACATGGTGCAGCAGGTCCTTCAGAGCTTCGGCTGCACGTACTCCTCGCCACAGTCCACTCCTCTGCCTACCGGTCACTCGCTCTCAGCTCCACCTTCGGACGAGTCCGTAGAGCCGAGTGGCCCGTATCCAGAGCTTGTGGGCTGCCTCATGTACCTGATGACTTGCACACGACCTGACCTCGCATACCCTCTCAGCCTTCTGGCTTGCTACGTGGCTCCCGGCAGGCACCGAAAGGTGCACTGGGATGCTGCGAAGAGGGTGTTGCGATACTTGTGCAGTACATCGGGCATGGGGCTCGTGCTTGGAGGACGGGCTCGAGTTGTCCTCACTGGTCACGCTGACGCCTCCTGGGTTGACGACTTGGCTACGCAGCGGTCGTCACAGGGTTACACCTTCAGTCTTGGCTCCGCTTCTGTCTCTTGGCGGTCTACCCGCTCTTCTTCTGTTCTCAGCTCCAGTTGTGAGGCTGAGATCTACGCTGGGGCCATGGCTGCACAGGAGCTACGCTGGCTCACCTACCTGCTGACCGACTTGGGAGAGGTGCCTCGTTCTCCTCCAGTTCTGTACGTTGACAGCAAGGCCATGCTGGCCTTGTGTCAGGAGCACAGACTGGAGCACAGAACGAAGCACATTGCTCTGCGCTACTTACTTGCTCGAGAGTTGCAGCAGCGTGGCCAGCTTCGTCTTGCTTACGTGGCCTCTCAGGCCAACACTGCTGATGTTTTCACCAAGGCACTTCAGCCTTGTGATCATCAGCGTTTCTGTACTGTATTAGGCCTTGTACCTACTGTGCCTCACTTGCTTACTTCTTGACTCTGCTTGTACTGTACTCTATATACATATACCTGCATGCTTACACTTGCTAGGTTGTGTTCACTGTATTGTTTGTTTTCCTTTATATAACTCTGCATGTGAACTGGCCTTGTGGCCATTTGCTTGTGCTCAGACTGCGTGGTGACTTTGTGATCCACCCTGAGCTTGCTTTGCCTTTCTTGACTGGTCTTGTGACCTCTTGTTCTCCCCCACTTTGCCTATGGGGGTGTGTCAAACTTATATGCTATAGTCTGTTTAGGCTGTAGTGGGGTAGTCCGTATAGGGTACAACACTTTTAGGTTTGCTACTTGTACCCAACTGCTTTCTAGTTCAGTCATTCATTCGCTCACAATTTTGACACTGCTTCGTCTGGAGGTTCTGCTGGTGCTTCGCCGAGACTGTCTCCACAGCAGCTGCGTGAGTGTTTTGTTGGGCGCGCACGCCTTCAGCGTGGAGCTACCGGAGCTGGAGGTGCTGGAGGTGCTGGAGTTGGAGGTGCTGGAGTTGCTGTTGGAGCTGGTGTTACTGGAGGTACTGCGGCCACTGGTCCTGGAGGTGCTCGTACCCGGTTTACTAGAGCTGCCGGGACTGGTGGTGTTGAGGGTGCAGGAGCTGGAGACCCTACGGAGTCTGGAGCTAGCTGGTGGCTCTGGTGCTGGTGGCGCTAGAGCTGGAGGAGCTGGAGTTGGAGGCACTAGCGCAGGAGGCGCTGGAGTTGGAGGCACTGGCGCAGGAGGCGCTGGAGCTGCAGGAGCTGGAGCTGTTGACCCTGGTGGCGCTGTGCGGCCGCGACCGTACTTCGTTTCCCTGCTTCATAAGGTTCTTGTTACCCCGACTTCTAATGGCCTTACTCCTCCCCTCCTGTGTCCACCGCCTGACCAGTCCCAGCCGCCGTTGCAGCCGGCCTCTCCACTGCCTGCTCCTTCCCCTTACACTGAGCAGTCCGGCGGTCTTACAGAGCGTCGTGAGCCTGCGTCTCGTCCTGTCTTGCCTGTTCGCACTGCTCATCGCGTTCCTTGTTCGCGTCCTCCTCCTGTCCCTGGCACGCATGCTATGACCCTTCGTCCTTCCTCTGTTCCACTGCGTGTTCCTCTGCCTGCTCCTCCTGAGTCCTCTCTTCCTAAGGTCCCTGACCCTGAGTCTGACCGCGCTCGTGCTGCCAGTCCCACTGTCTCTCGTCTCCTCGCCACTTTGTCACTGACCCTTCTTTTGAGTCCACTGCTGCGTCTGCCCTCGTTGCTGAGCTGGTTGACTTTGCTGCTGCCTGACATCTAGACTACGCCATTGCTCTTGTTGCTGAGTATGAGTCTGCCAGTGCTCCGTCCGTCGGGGGTGAGTGTGCTCTTGGCACGGACGTCCTTGAGGACAGGCAGGAGGACTTTGAGTGTCTTGCAGCTGCTGTACCTCGTTTCGCTTCTATGCTGCTTGCCCCTGAGGGAGACCCGGATGCACCAGACATCCCGACCCCGCGCTCTTACGCAGAGGCGATTACGGGTCCTTACTCATCTCAGTGGCAGACAGCCATGGACGCCGAGATGACATCCTAGAAGTCCACAGGCACGTATGTCGACGCAGTTCCCCCGTCTGAGGCGAACATAGTCGATGGCATGTGGATTTTCAGGGTGAAGCGGCCGCCGAGTTCTCCGCCTGCCTTCAAGGCGCGTTACGTTGCTCGAGGCTCCAATCAGTGACAGAGGGTCGACTACTTCCAGACCTTCTCCCCCACCCCGAAGATGACCACTCTTCGGGTGTTGCTGCACGTCGCTGCTCAGCGTGACTACGAGTTCCACTCTCTCGACTTCAGTACAGCTTTCTTGCACGGCAGCCTGCACGAGGAGATCTGGCTTCGCCGCCCACCTGGCTTCACTGGGTCGTTTCTTGCCGGTACCCAGTGGAGCCTCCAGCGGCCAGTCTATGGTCTCCGCCAGGCGCCTCGCGAGTGGCACGACACACTGAGGACTACACTTGCGGCTCTTGGGTTTACTCCTTCTACTGCTGACCCGTCGCTGTTTCTACGCATCGACAAGTCGCTGCCGCTGCTCTACGTTCTCGTGTACGTCGACGACCTGGTCTTTGCCACTGTTGACACTGGGGCACTGACCGTTGTGAAGTCGGAGCTGCAGAAGAGACACACATGCACTGACCTGGGTGAACAGCGCAGCTATCCTGGCCTGCAGATCTCCCGGGACAGAGCACGGCGCACCATCACCTTGACTCAGTCACACATGGTGCACCAGGTCCTTCAGCGTTTCGGTTTCGAGTTCTCCTCGCCACAGCCCAATCCTCTGTCTACCAGCCACTCGCTCTCAGCTCCACCTTTGGACGAGTCCGTAGAGCCGAGTGGTCCGTACCCAGAGCTTGTGGGTTGCCTCATGTACCTGATGACGTGCACACGACCTGACCTCGCGTACCCTCTTATCCTTCTTGCTCGCTACGTGGCTCCCGGTAGGCACCAAAAGGTGCACTGGGATGCTGCGAAGAGGGTACTGCGCTACTTGTGCAGTACGTCAAGCATGGGGCTCGTGCTTGGAGGACGGGGTCTAGTTGTCCTCACCGGTCACGCAGACGCCTCCTGGGTTGACGACTCAGCTACGCAGCGATCGTCACAGGGTTACACCTTCAGCCTCGGTTCCGGCTCTGTTTCCTGTCGGTCTACTCGCTCCTCTTCGGTTCTCAGCTCCAGTTGTGAGGCTGAGATCTACGTCGGGGCCATGGCTGCACAGGAGCTACGTTGGCTCACCTATCTGGTGACTGACTTGGGAGAGCAGCCTCGTTCGCCTCCAGTTCTGTACGTAGACAACAAGGCCATGATTGCCTTGTGTCAGGAGCACAGACTGGAGCACAGAACAAAGCACCTCGCCCTGCGATACTTCCTTACTCAAGAGTTGCAGCAGCGTGGCCAGCTTCGTCTTGCGTATGTGGCCACTAGGGCCAACACTGCTGATATATTCACCAAGGCACTTCCGCCTGGTGATCATCAGCGCTTCTCTACTGTGTTAGGCCTTGTGCCTACTTTGCCTCACTTTCTCACTGCTTGACTCTACTTGTACTGTTATCTATATATATACTTGCATGCTTACACTTGCTAGGGTATGATCACTGTATTGTTTGTTCTCCTTTATATAACTCTGCATGTTAACTGGCCTTGTGGCCCTTTGCTTGTGCTCGGACTGTGTGGTGACTTTGTGATCCACCCTGAGCTTGCTTTGCTTTTCTTGACTGGTCTTGTGCCCACTTGTTCTCCCCCAGTTTTCCTATGGGGGTGTGTCAGAATGTTATAGTACTTACATTTGTGTAGGCTATAGTGGGGCAGCCCATAAGGGGTACAACCCAATTAGGGTTAGTACTTGTACCCAACTCTTTGCTACTTCATTCATTCTCGTTCATTACTTTCAACAGTATGACAAACAACAGTATACTTATCAGTCACTGATGGCGTACGCCATTCTCCTGCGAAACATCTCGGCAAGTGAGCAGCAAAACATTCGAACTTATCGCGGATACGGTAACTCCGCCGAGCTCGCCCACAACCATCTGAAGAACCTGTATCAAGCAAACGACAGTGTAAACTAGAGTCGTCTCATGGCGCAATTGACAACAATCAAAATGCAACCCGGCGAAAAGGGAATGGTCTATATAAGTCGCTTTCGCGGTCTACGTGTCAGACTCCTTCAGTGCGGCGGGGCACTATCCGAAGACGCCTTTGTCACCGTCGTCCTCGCAGGCCTCGGTCCTCAATGGCGTTCCACCCGGGCTATTCTCCGGGCCTACGGAAGACTCTCTGAAGCAAGCCTCTGCGCAGAAATTCATGCCGAGCAACAAGATATGGACCTGCACGAAGAACGCCACAAGAAAAGGGCATCAATAACAGAGTTTGCCTTTCACATTCACAGGCGCCACA